ACTCCATCACACATATCCTACCATGGCAGCTTTTTTCCCAACCAGGGGCTCTTCTGGATGATACCATGAGGTTGCATTTCTCAGGCAGGCCGCTGTCTGTATGAGCTGGGAGTTCTAGCAGTAGAAATCCGTATTTTAACCTGGGGAGCCTCAGGATGAGAAGGCTGGTCAGCAAAGAACCCGGGAAGTGGTTGATAGTTCTTCCCCCCGCAGTGGGGTATTGCTGTTCCCCTTCTGCAATCCTGTTCCTTTTCCTGGATGTTAGAAAATAAAAGCCAGTTGGCCCAGTTTTTACAAGGGTGAGGTTTGTTCTGCCTAGGCACAGAGGAGGCTGCGTGGGGAATGAGCAGATGAAAGGTTTTCAGAGGCGCTTGAAAGGAGGAGCTGAGTTAATGGACCAATTAATCCACTAATTTCCAGTTAGTGGGCCCTGGGATGATTTAGAAAAATGGCTCAAAGCGCAGCAGAAGAATCAGTCGGGGACGGTTATAAACCTTGAACAAAGATCTCTCGCTCACCTTTTAATCATCCAAGGGTACATACTGGAAGTTGTGTTTGTAACTAGGAGGGCAATGTTCCTGCTGCTGTTTTATACTTGCCTTCCAAAGGAGGGTCGGGAACAATGTACACCCCCCCCCCCCAAAAAGCAATAAACACAGTCAACCATCTGATAAGGCAATAAAAGCAATAAGAATAGGGCTTTGAAAGCCACATTCATTTTAAACAATAGTTTGAAAAGCAGTCGGGTTCCGGAGAAGATGTTACCTTGCAAATCTAATGAACCTGCCTGGCTTCGTTTCTCCTTTTAAACCAGGCAGAGGAGCATTTGCACAGTGTGGTGGGTTATAAATAGGCTAGTCCCGGGGACAGCAGAATTTAGGTTGACAGAATCTACCCTTTTTGCTTGAATGAGTACGGTGGGACCTAACAAGGAAGAAGGAGCGCTTTCCTTGAATTCAGCAACAAAGAGACTTCCGAGCAGAGGAACTTTTCATTCTATTTCATGCAGTCCCAGAATTCGTTTATGACGTTTGAGGGAGTTGGAATATATTTCCAGCCTACGTACTTCTCTCTCTCTCTGTCTCTCTCTCTGCACCCAAAGCAAACAGCTGCTCTTCCAGATGGTTGGATTCCTACGTGGCTTTTCTTTCTCATTGGAAGGCAGACAACTTTTCTCCCCCTGCCCCGCCTTTTAAAAAAACAACCAAAAAGCCAGCCCACAGCACCAGCGAGTTGTCTGTGCGCAAGGCTGGGGAAGGGCTCCCCCAGGATCTAAAGACATGCTTTCTCATGGTTGCTGGCCAGCAGTCCACACAGACCCCAATTTTATTGCATTTTTGCTCTTTTCCAAATTCTACCCTTTTGTGGACAGCCTGTTCTGCTGGGGCACGGAGCCTCCCTGCTATTCTCTCTCCTGAAGAATTTGCTGAAGACTTTTGATGGTTCTTGTCTTCACCTTCTCCCATTTGGCTCTTGAGTGGAACACAACTGAGGGTGCCTCTTCTGTGTTGCTCGCTCTGGCATGGCTGGGAAAGGTTCCTGACGCTGCAAAGTGGTAGAACTCGCCTGCCTGCCTGCCATCAACCAAACCCTGGAGGTAATTCTTATTTCAGTTTCCCCAGAAAGACCAGCATGTCCAGCCTCTCTGTAAAAACATGCCGAGTTAAAAAAAGCGGACCTTTCAGACTTGGATTTTTTAAACAAAATCCATGTCAGGAAAGGGACGCCAACTCGAGCTGCTGTTTGATTCAGCTGTTTGCAAGAAGCAGAAGGAGAGCCATATGGCCCCGGGCTGGTCTTAAAAATGAGCCGTCTTGTCCTACGTCCACCTTCCCTCTGCTAGAGACCCCCTGAAGAAACGAGAATATCGGGTAAACTTGCAGTTCTTCTCTTACGGCAGGGAACGGAAGAGGAAAGGCAGGAAAAGAGGTGTGGTATGAAGGGAAATCTAGAAAGGAAAGAAATAGTGGGGCTGGGAGTTAGAGAAAAGAAGAGCAAGAGGAACACACGTTGGGGAGGAGGAATAGGAAGGAAGGGGTGCAGGAACTCTCAAAAGTTCAGCACCCCTGTTCTAATAAAAACGGAAACACCACGTCCGATTCAGGTTTCTCTTTGGCGCCGTAAAAGTTCTGAATTCATGGAAGAGCTAAGGGGCAGGATGAGAGTCAAGAGCTCAAGAAACGGAGTGTGCAGAAGGCCGGGGTCTTCCAGCTGTGAACTGTGCGTGGTGTCAGTCTCTGGCAGACAAAGATACTGGGACAGGGAAGGGTGATGGCTGTGTGTTGGGAAGGAGATAAGACCTTTTTACTGGGGGCTCTTGGCAAGTGAGGAATCCCTCAGCAGGTTTGTCCGAGCAAGCGGGTTAATAACTCTGGGAACTGCCATAGTCCGAAGTGCTGGTAGATGCTTGCAGAGACCTTTGAACTGACACCCTCAGTCATTTTCTTCTAAGCTGACTTCCTCAAGAATCAGGCACCATAAACGGATCCTAAAGAAGATCAGGTTTTCTCGTTTCTGCTTCCTTTCTGTCCTGTTTGTCTGTGAAATGTTCAGATTGGTCTTTCATCATCATCATCATCATCATCACTATTTTTATGGCTCTTCTTTTCCTTAATATCACTTTGTGATCTTGACTTTCTGGCCCTAGGACCCAAGGCATTCAACAAGAATGGCACATAAACCACACACAGTTAATCCTAGAAACCCTAAGAATCAGTACAGGCAATGTCTCTTTCCTTTTTCCTTTGCAAATAGTTTGGAAGCGCGAGCACTGGGTAATTTCTTAACAAGAGCGCCTTAATAAAGAAATTGGGACAGGCGAGTTAAATACCTGGAGATTGAAAAAAATGATTTAAGTGTTTGGAGATTAAGAGATTAAATAAGGAAAAGGTTGGTGGTGTTTAGCCAAAAGTCTGACCATTTGAAGAAGATCTTTGACGGGCTGCCAGACAGATGATGGAGCAAATGTGTTTTATGTTGTTCCAGAGGGCAGAACCTGAACCAACAGGTTTAAATTTCAACAAAAAGGGTTTTGCTAATTATTAAAAAGAATTTATTGCCAGGATGATCCAAGTTCTTTTGTTTGGGAGTTTTAAAAGATATACTGGCTTAGGGAGGTTATTGCAGCCAATTTTCTGTATCAGGGAGGAATTAGATGAAATGATCTAATGGCCCAACTCTGGCTTTTTTAGGATTTTAGAAGGATTTAACCTCTGAAATGTTACCGAACTTTTAGAACACCGAAGAAGAACGCCAAAGCAGAATCTCTGCAATAAAAAGCAAGTGACTGAAAATTACCTCCTCAGGGCCAGCCAGCTGGGTATTTGTAGTATGAATATGTGTGCTCTGGTACAACTTAATTTGGTCTAATAAAAGTCATCCCTGGTTTGTGCATAACAGCTACCATCTGGCAGAGTCATTCATTTAGCTTTTGAGTGACTCAAAAAGTCAGCTAAAGTGGTAGAGAACAGTTCTTACGGTTTATCTATTCATAATCTACTTAGATGGCGTTGCTGTTAGGGTATCAGCTCTCCAGATCTTCAGGTGAGGGTGATGTTCCAGAGATTGAACTCAGGACCTTCTGTGTGGAAAGCCAGTGCTACAGAGCAATGTCTATTCTTCCAGATGTTTGTCTCCTTCTAGGTATAGCATGAAAACTGCTGACTTTAAAGCCATGGGGGGGGGTGTATTGTATACTTTTAATGCTTGAGATGGCTTGTCTGATGTCATTTTTTAAAATCTCTTTGGCCATGGTTTAGACCAGTGTTTTTCAAAGTTGGCAACTTTAAGAAGTATAAACTTCAACTCCCAGAATTCCCTAGCCAGCATGTGGCCATCTGTTCCACTGGTTGACAGCTTGCATGGTCAAGAAGTTCCTCCTGGCCTCTAGCGTGAACCTCATTCCTTGCAACCTGATCCCACTGGTTCTCATCCTGTCCTCTAGGTCACTAGAGAATAAGACCAATCCCTGATTAAAATGACTTGACAGCTTGTATGATGTGTTGTAAATTGGCCTCTGTTGATGCCTCTGGATTAAGAAATCCCCACTGTTTTGTAACTGGGATTTCTGGGCATCTCAGCTAAGGGTCTTTGCACACAAGCGCCTAATCTGGGGCCAAGCCAGCATGTTTAAAAATACATTTCAAAGGCAGGGATGTAGAGGAAATGTGTTCAGGTCTGAGCTTTTGCACAGCACCCATTTATCCTAAGTGTATGAATTGGAATGTATTTCTATGTTGAAATGCATGTTTTTCCAGAATTTTGCAATGCAATTTGCTTCTGAAAATGTGCGCCAAAATGCCTGTATAAAGAAAAATTACACACGCAAATATATCAAAGTCTAAAAATAGGACTGCTAGAAAAACACTTTTATTTTTATATTTATTAATTTATATATCAAATTTGTCACCCCCCGTCTCATTAAAAAACGACTCTGGGTAGTTTACAAAGCGGTTAAAATCAATTAAAATTACAATATAAAATAATCCTAAATAAATAGAAAATAAACGTAGTGCAAGGGTAGATGTTAAAATTGGCAGTAACTCGGAGAGCGTTATCAAGGCACCAGCCACCCCCAGGATTGGGTAAGATTCTTGTCACCCACACAAGCTGGCAGAGCCAGGTCTTTAATCCTTTCCGAAAAGCCGGGAGGGTAGGGACCCACCGCACCTCTCTGGGGAGAATGTTCCAAAGGGTGGGAGCAATGGCAGAGAAGGCTGTCCTCCTAGGCCCCGCCAGCCAACACTCTCTCGCTGATGGGGTCCATATCATGCCCTCTTTGCCTGACCGGGTGGGATGAGTTGATGTGATGGGGGTAAGACAGTCCCTCAGATAACCTTTTGATCAAAACATTCTTTTTGATTTGGGCATTCTCTGTTTCTCTAACCCAGTGTTCCTCAACCTTGGCCACTTGAAGATGTATGGACTTCATGGCTGGCTGGCGAATTCTGGGAGTTGAAGTCCACACATCTTCAAGTGGCCAAGGTTGAGGAACCCTGCTCTAACCCTCGATCGTTTCATGGTTTTGTTTCTCTTGTTCTACGTCAGAAGGCTTCAGACCTTCAATCTCCAGATAAAGATTCTGGAGTCCAAGTCCCATAATTTCCACCTGCCAAAGAAACAGCTGGAGATCACAGGAGTCATAACCATACCTAAGTATTCCCCGCTTGAATCTAGAAGATGTAGGTTTGAGGTGCATCTCTGCTCTGGATTCCTTGAGCAAAAGTGGGGAAATTGTGCTCATCTATAATAATTCCCATAATGTGGGAATGGTCAGTCATCTGATATATGGGGTTATATTTGAAGATGTGCCCTGTAAAGATCAAGAAGCCAGTTTTAGATTTAAAATGCTCAATTGCAATACATATCTGGCAATTCTAGCTAGGAGATATTATTTTGAACACTCACGTAAAGTTCCCAAGGGGTCTGTGTTGGCTTTGTAAATCTTTGTTAGATATGACTTAATTACCCCAAAATAGTTTATTTGATGCTAATTACAGCACATTCATGTACACACACATTCCTCTGACTTTTGGTTCACGATTCAAGCCATAAACACAATGCAGGGATACAACCCAGGGGTCTTTATGCAGACACTCTTACATTTACTTCTTGGCATCTCCAGTTTGAAGAATGGATTAGATAATGAGAAGGATTTCTGCAGGTCAAAAGCCTGGGAAAATGCTGCTAATATAGTAGGTGATGTGAAGTCCATGGGCAAATAGCCTGGCCCAGATCCAAGGCAGTTTCCTGAGCTTGTCTATCTGTCAGGTTTATATCCTGCCTATGTCTGCTTTGAGAACATTTCTTCAGCAGCCAGTTTCGGTGACACTATATCTCCGATGGTGTGTTCTCCAAACATACCAGCACTGGTGTGCTCTATGGTTCCTGGAGAAATAGGACCAGAAGGATGAATAGAAGCTGGTTTTCAGCTGCAGAAGCCAACATGTGATTTTCCTACCCTGCTCTCCCCAAGATACTCTCAGTACCTGGTGCTCCAACACAGTCGACAAGATCTGTGGTCACCAAGACAGCACACGGATTACATTGGGCTTTAGCAAGCATCAGTGGTAACAAGGCACCTTGGCCATCTCCCAGTTCTCAAGTTTGCCCTCCAGGTGATTACAGTACTGCTAAACCCTGTGCTGAAAGACTGTCTCTTGCAGCTTAGCCTAAGTCTGGAACAGTAATTCACACTGCAGAGGGCTTCTGCTGTTCTTTGGAGCTTGGGCGGGGGGGGGGGGGGG